GCTTAGCCTTACACTTTAAGCAGGGTGGCGTTGGCCGCTAGCAGTATAAGACACGTTGAGAACGATGCGAGAACAAGATTTCTTATAATTATTATACATCGAAATTTTAGCGTGCAATCAACCGATTCAATACACCAGCAAGCCATGTAAGTGTTTGTTAATTTAAAATTGTAGAAAATATAAGTTGGTGCATACAAATCTTTGAAAGAAAAAAGTTATATTTTAAAAGTTTTAAGTATTTTCTAACGCAGTGACAAACATTTTAAGTTAACTTAGATGCGCTATAATGAAGTGAGTGAATTTAATATACGAAAATATTTTGCTCTATGTAAGAAAAACAAATTAGTCCTTATAATAAAAATAAAATTATTACATATTTAATTTCGCAAATTTACCTAATATAAATCGTATATATTTCATTAAATTATTTTTTATTTAAGTACATTTATTTTATAAACTAAAAACGTTGAAATTACGAATTATACTTTCAAATTTGTCAGAACGCTAATAGTACTAGTAAAGTGTAATAAATAATATTAGACTTTACAAAAAACTTTTTCATTTAAAAAAAATATCCTGGTGTTTCTGATCAGGATACGAGGATTAAGTTATTTAATTATTGTATTGTCGTCGGTCCTTGTAAATTTTTGAGTCAATCGGCCGTTGTAGACGGTTGGTGAAAATTACATTAACATATTCCGTTACATAGATAGATTGATACTCGTAGACAGATAGATACACGCAAAGCTAATAGAAGCGTATAAAAAATTAAATTAACGTGTGTACAGTCTATATAAGATCCACAACTTGGAACAGACCTCATTTTAGAAAGGGTTTTTGGAACAAGAAAATGTTCGCCGCATTGTCCCAACGCGGGTTGAAGTACATGAAGCCATCCTCACAATTTCTATCATCGTCTAACATGTGCTAAATCAGCACTTGAAATTGCAATTAACAATTTCATTTGTACCTATTGATGGCCATTGGCGCTTTTATATAAGATATAACATTTATTTGAAGATCATGTAAATCATGTCGAACATTCCGAATGGTGACTGTCATTAAAAAACCAAATTGATAACAAAACAATGGACTTATGATACAGCTTCATATTGCTGTTGCTTCAAGTGCTGGAATTGAAAGACTGTTTTTAACAGTTGGATTTATTCATTCCGACGTACTAAATGAACTAGGTACCGAGAAAGCTACATAAGTTGTCAACAATTTTTAAATATTTAATAAGAAAACTTAAGTGTTGTCTTATAGCATTGTCTATCTCACACAATTTAGATTATTTACTAATTTATAATAACTAGTTTCGAAATTTCAGCAGCTATTATGTATATATATATATATGTATATATATATATATATATATATATATATAGTAAGAAAATGACTGCTGCCCAACAACAATTGGGTGTAGGTATAACTGCAATTAGCAGGGGTTTACACTTTCTTGTTAATAATGAAAAGAGGGTAGATAGATGCAATCAGGTTTTTTAGCGATGGATGCCGAATTTTATCCTTTCTACATCACTAAAATACGGAGACTAGAATAAAGTTTATTATCCCCCCGGTTTGTACAAATCTAACAAGATTGGACAAAATAAATCAAGAAAACTTTGCGCATTTCAAAACCTTCAAACCAGGGAAACTGGTCAGGACGTTCTCGCTTCCAGTCGAACAGAGGAAGGGGACGAGGAGGTCAGAAACGAATTAGTCACCGAGCTTCCCCTGCACTCGGCCATTTGAAGACCAGCCACAAACCACGTGCCCCAACATGACATCCCTGAGACAGGTACATACAGGTAGAATAAAATTTTATTATGAGTGTTGGATTAAAATAACCGACAATAATAATCCTTTTTGTTAAAGTGTTGTACAACCGCCAGGGTAGACATGATTAAAACAAGTTGTTTTAAAACACATGTTTAAAACAGATTTTAAAACTGTTTGAAATAAAACATTGTTTTTTATTAATTGTTTAAAAACACAGTATAAACAATGTTAAAACATTAAGAAAAAACAGGGTTTAAAACTACTCCTAAAAATGCAAATGAAAACAATAAAACAATTAAGAGCCAAAATAGCTTGAAATAAATTTACAAGTTGAGTTTATGTTGTAATTTTCATTTAAATTAGGAATTATAACGAAAAGTTTATTTCAAAATTGTAATTAAAACATTATTTTATTACAAGAAATGCATTTAATCATAGACAAACAAAACAGTTTATGGTTACTGTTTTCTAATGATCACACTAGATAACAACTATTTTTAAAACACATTAAAGTTAAAGGGTTAAATGATAACAATTTTAATGAATAAACAACTATTTATTATAAATTAGTAAATAATCTAAATTGTGTGAAACAAACAATGTGATAAGACAACACTTAGGTTTTCTTATTAAATATTTAAAAACTGTGACAACATATGTATCTTTCTCGGTACCTAGTTCATTTAGTACGTCGGAATGAATAAATCCAAATGTTGAAAACAGTCTTTCAGTTCCAGCACTTGAAGCAACAGCAGTATGAAGCTGTGTCACAAGTCCATTGTTTGGTCATCAATTTGGTTTTTTAATGACAGTCACCATTCGAGATGTCCGACATGATTTACTACATAATCTTCAAATACAAGTTATACCTATATAATTATGTAGTTATATAAAAAGTAAATTGATTTGTCATTGCCCTATATTTTACAACATAGGGCATCACCTCTTTGTGATAAGGTTCAACAAGCATACAACTGTAAGAGACTTCAAGATACTGTAAGTTTATACTGCGTAGATCGGAAGAAACTATGACATTGGGACGTCGTCCCTCCCGTGACCATGGGTGCTGGAAAGTGCTCGAAACGTCGGTAATCTATACAAATAAATAAAATTGAAATGTCAAAAATCAAAAAGTGAACAAAAATACAACTTTTAAAGTTTTTGTCTGTCTGTCTGTTTGTTCCGGCGAATCTCCGAAACGGCTGGACCGATTTTGACGGGATTTTCACTGGCAGATAGCTGATGTCACAAGGAGTAACTTAGGCTACTTTGATTTCAGAAAAAGAATTAGGGTTCCGCGCAAAAAAATTAAAACCCCAAATAACACGCGGGCGAAGTCGCGGGGAACAGCTAGTATAAAATAAGTTAATATATGCGAGAAAATCCGTAAAATTAGTTTTATTTAAATGTGTAGTGTTCGCGTAAATATAAGGAATCATTATACATCAAACTAAATCATATTAATTCAAATTAAATCAAATCAAATCAAAATAAAATTAAATTAAATTCTAATTTGTCATGTACCTAAGAGGCACTCCGTGCGGTCGACACCTAGAAGAATTACCATCCACTGAATGAGTCATCGTTCGCACGAAGTGCCTCACAATAGGCGCATGCGGATCATCTGTCAGCGTTCTCAGGATGCTGTTGTCACTTCTCCGTATCGTTCCTATCAGCGACGCTACTTTTTTCCGAACTACGGCATGAAAACCATCAGTTCTGGTCTGTGCAAACATGCCAGAAGCACTACAGAAGCGGGGGAGTGCCAACATCATCCTGAAAACGTTATTGTACTGGACTCGCAGGGTGTTTAACGTGTTTAAAATTTAAGCATATGTCTGACATAATATGTCAGTTTTCCAAAAAAAACTTTTAGGCAGTCAGCAATTGTGTTCCACCAGTTCATAGCGAATAAACATTTCAAAACAATATCGGTGATACTGACGATGGATTGGTCTTAGGACTAGGGTTGCCATCTGTCCGGCTTTAGCCGGACATGTTTGGCCTTTTCGGGTTGTGTCCGGCCAAATTTTTATGTGTCCGGCCTGTCCGGTTTTGATAGGCTTTTTGTTAGTGCAACGCATTGCACGCATCTCTTGCAGAATAAATAAATAAGTAACGTATACACTTGAAACTGTGCTGTGATTGATTAATAAACAATTAACGTGTGTGACGGAGTATTGTAGTTTTTTTTCTCGGGGGGTTGGAGTTGGTGAGTTTTTTGGCAGCATGGCCTCAGAAAGGTATGTTTGGCTAAAAATTACTGTCCGGCTTTTAGGGCCAAAAGTCCGGCTTTTTGGAGCCGAGCGCGGCTTTTTGACATGGCAACCCTACTTAGGACCTATGTTCACTGTGGACTTATTTTTTTTTTATTTATTTATTTATTTCGACCAGCAACGATCATAGGGTAATATTACATTCATTCAAGTTAATTCTAATACTAAAATTACTACTATCATTACTAAACTTAATATATCAAATGCATAAGTATTCATAATAATATTGAAAATATAATAATTATTTAATATTAACAAAATAATGTAAATCAAAAAAAAAACATAACTCACAACAGACCCGACTTAATAATATATTAACAAAATCATAAACATAACTTATATTAATGATATAATGATAATAATTAATCATTTATTGCAGACGATAATTTGTTAAAAGTAGATAGTAAAATTAAATAAAAATTACTTCATATATCTGGGTTGCCTGTTCGAGGCAACGGATACATGGACATGAACATGCATCCAGTGCCTCAAAAAAGTACAATCGGGTTTCTCGCTAATTACGCTAATAACGAGCTGTAATGATGATGACGAGGTTCACGCTTGGATTTCTCGCGTACAATTAAAAACATCACAGCATGTTACGTAATAGTTCAAGAGCCAGTGAGCGGCAGACTTACGGTATTTCAATAAGCTTCACGTTTTTCTCAGTTAATCCCATATATCTTAGGTTCATGAAAACTGTCAACCATAACCTTGCGACCGCCATAGGTGTCTGCAAACGTTATTTTTCGGTAACTTTTATTGAATATTTCATGATATCAAAGCGGCAGACTTACTAATTTCACGTTTTCCTCATTTCATGTACCTCAGGTAGTGAAGCTTATTGAAATACCGTAAGCCTGCCGCTCACTGGCTCTTAGTCCATATCAAATATACAATATTCTGACGTTATATATTTATTTTTGACAGCATTTTGATAAGATGTGGGCCTGTGATCCCGCATTTACTACAGAAATAGTGAACAGTTATCAAGTAGCTGGACCACTCTTTGTCCAAGCTCTGCAGAGTTTTCTGGCAGCGCAATGCGCGTTGGCTGGAGATCATTTATGGCCATCTGATGCAACGGAGGCAGTCATCGAAGGTATCACGATCTTTCTAAATGGATTTTTTACTTGTATATTAATATTAACTTAAGCCTTTAAAAAGTATTTAAAAAAAGTAGTAAAAGGGTTATAATTTAAAATTATACCAAGGAAATTATAGATAACAATAGTCCAATAAGTTATTTTTAATGTGTGTATTTAAAGAAAGTTAATTGTGTAACATAATACATGATTGTAAACTGTCCTTTAAAATAATTTAAAATTAAAAATTTTGTACAGCCGACTTCAATATAAGTTATTTAAGAATAACTTAAAAACTATTGGTCTGACCTTGATCAAATTCATATGGGACCACACGAGAAGTACCAGCTTTCAAATAAAAAAAGAATCATCGAAATCGGTTCACCCAGAAAAAAGTTCTGAGGTAACACACATAAAAAAAAAACGAAAAAAAAAAACATACAGTCGAATTGAGTACCGGCTCCTTTTTGGAAGTCGGCAGAAAAACTATATCGATCTATATTTCTTCTAGATAATTTGAGTAAAACCATAACATTAGAATAGCATTACATATACAATTGTTAATTATTACTTATAAATACTACGAGTGAAAAAGCTGCGAATTTAAGTGAGTTAAATCATACTCTACAATACCATTAAAAATAAAACAAATTGTTTTATTTAATGCTATATCTCTAAGTATAGAAGTATAAGTATTTTTAACCTTAGAGTATTTATAAGCAAGCTACTTATTTATACTCTATGGTATCCACAATTCATAATGTCGTCACTGTTGTTTAACAAGGTGCACAAAATATACAAAATAATGATACCTCTGAACACAAACATGTACTAATCGAATTGCAGAGTTGTTTAAAATTTTGGATTTATAATTGATTCGGTTATATTTATTTATTTTTTTAAAAGAAGGTTACCCCCACTCTAGGACTTTCTCCTGTGTCGTGGAGGCAGTTTACAAGCATAAATCGCACGAGGACAAACATCCAGACCCGGAACAGTTATTTGTAGGCCATACAAATACTTGTTCCATGCGGGATTCGAACCCGCGGCCCCCAGCGCAACAACTCATTGCTAAGCCACTGCGCCACGGAGCCGTCTCGTCGTCAAATTGAATTAATTGTTCCTGTTAATAACTAATTTGTTTTTAATTTACTTAAATAGACGATAAATATTTTGTTGAATACAGAAATTTACATCACAAATAATCGTGCGTCAAACCGTTTGTGATTTTTTTATTAATTTTCTTATAGTATAAATAAGGCTAAAAAAATAATAATGATCAAAAACAATCATTCAAAGATAGAAAAATGACAATAACTTTATGGTGGTTATTATAACGACATCGCATCTTTACGAATTAAATCATATACATAATAATATAATATTTCAAATAAAATGTAAATATATGTTAAAAATATTATGTAACCCTTATTTTTCTATAGATCCCAACTACGACTTCATAGTAGTGGGAGCTGGGTCAGCCGGTGCTGTGGTAGCTAACCGGCTAAGCGAGATATCACACTGGAAGATTCTACTTGTCGAGGCCGGCGGGAATCCTAATCTAGCCACAGAGGTATACAATTTTATCTTTGGTTTTAGATAAACGGAACTTAATTTGGTAAACAATGGTTATTTAGTAAAACAGAAAATTCTTTATATTTAATAGACAAAATGAAAATATTTGTACTGGTAAATTTTAGCAAATGTACGATTCCGTTACCAAATACTTATCTTTATATTATTTTTAGATCCCACAACTTTTTTACAACAATATCGATACTTCTATGGATTGGGGTTACAGAACCCAACCCCAGGATTCCATCTGTAAAGGATATAAAGAAAACCGCTGTACATGGCCGCGCGGTAAGACTCTAGGAGGCTGTAGTAGTATCAATGCGATGTTTTATGTGAGAGGTAATAAAGTAGATTATGATGAGTGGGCAGCTAACGGAAACTACGGCTGGAGTTATGACGAAGTATTAGAGTATTTTAAAAAAAGTGAAAATTTTTCTGATCCGTTAACGAAAGAAACAAAAAAGTACCACAACAAGGGAGGATATCTTAATGTACAAAAGCCTGGTTCCGCACACGCCTTTGAAGAACTGATCATAAAGGCCGTTACTGAATTAGGAATAAAAGAATTAAACGAGGTTAACGGTCCTACGCAAATGGGAATAACTAGAGCATATACTACAATCAAAGACGGCAAACGGCATAGTACAGCAAAAGCATTTTTAAATGTTATTAAGGACAGAAAAAATTTGCATGTGCTTAAAAATGCTCACGTAACAAAAATATTATTTCACAACAAATCAACCAAAGTTAGCGGTATATTAATTCAACGGTACGGAAAAGAAATTACAGTTAATACAAAGAAAGAAGTAATTTTATCAGCGGGTGCGATCAATACACCACAATTACTTCTTCTCTCAGGTATGGGACCGGGAAAGTATTTAAATGACTTAAATATTGAAGTAAAAGCAGATTTACCAGTTGGTGAAAATTTGCAAGATCATGTATTCTTTCCAATTTACTACAGTGCACCAGTGCAAGGAATTTTTAATACATTACCAGATATAACAAAATCATTTACGGAATATATGTTAACAAACAAAGGTATCCTCTCAGATATAAGTCCACACAAAATTATAGCATTTGTCAACTCCAGCAATCCTGCTGCCATTAGCCCGGAAGTTCAATTTCATTATTTAGTATTCACTCCACGTTTAGCCAATTTAGTCGATGTGTACGCTAAACATGGTTTGAACAATGATATACACAGAAAGTTCCAGAAACTGAATGAAAATAATATTGTTATAATGATATATAATACATTATTAAAACCAAAATCAATAGGAAGACTAATTTTAAATAGTACAAATCCAAATGATCATCCACTTTTATTTGCTAATTATTTTCAAGAGCCGGAAGATCTCAAAGTTCTCATAAGAAACGCTAAACAATTCACTTTAACTTTAAACGAGACTAAAACTTTCAAAGATGCCGGATTTAAACTTACTTGGCTTGAATTAGAGGCTTGTAAAGATTTAGACAAGAACTCCGATGAATTCCTAGAATGTGTCGCTAGGGAACTAACGTTCTCCTTATACCATCCATGTTGCACTGCTAAAATGGGTCTCAGTGGTGATAGAACAGCTGTTGTAGATCCTCAGTTAAGGGTTCATAAAATTCAAGGACTAAGAGTGATAGATGCAAGTATTATGCCGTCTGTTGTTAGAGGTAATACAAATGCACCAACAATAATGATAGGTGAAAAGGGCGCAAGTATGATCAAACAATTTTGGTTAAATGAACATACTGAATTATGATAATACACAAATAAATTATTTTTATTTGTGTTATGTTTTATTATACCCGTTTTGTTCTATTTATTTTATTATCATCATTATTAGCTCATAAATATGTTATAGCTGACATGAATTTCGACCGGAGTCAGGAACAATGATGACTGGGACTAAGCTTAGCAGGTAAATTGCTGCATTCAGTCACACTTCTATATACTAGTTATTTGTCTTGATATCCATCGGAGACTTATGTTAATATATTTTTTAAATTATCTTGGATCGACTCTTACGACCCCTCACAGAACGATAAATTTTCATACACCATTTCCACTCTGAATGATTTATTCTATATATTAATTTTTCTGATACAGATCATCATTACTACAGTCCATCATAATTCCATCATAGGCCTTCCCCGAGGAATGCCAAGAAGCAGCAACGTACGGTCCTGAGCCACCTGTATCCATCGACTACACACCCTATATTTCACTTGCCAGTATGAGGCTGCCACTGCGTATTTTTTAACTTATCTGTAATACAGACAATTGATAAAAATTGTTAATGAAACTTGATAGTTACAACTTTAAGTTACAACTTTAACTTTAATATACAACTTTAAGAGCACGATTTACCACGAGTACTTCATAATAGTTCACTATTGCGTAAACATGTTTGTATAAACTTTAAGTAATATACAAAAAAATTGTGAAGGAGCGAAACCGCAAAAACCGCAGAAAGGCATTTAAATGAAACACACGTCTAAGAGAGGCAAAGGAAAAGGGTAGTCCGAAACTTCTTTATTCCCTAGTAAGTGCCTTTTTACTGGAAACGGGACATTCTATCTTAGACCTTAGTGATGACAGCGCATCACACAACCACAGCATTCACTTACCATCGTCATATGGTCGACCGTATGCATGTTTGTCACCCTAAGGCCGGCCTCATATATTCGGAATACCATTTTTCCAGCAAAATTACGAACGGAAAACCACTGTACGTTTTATGTTATAGGATAGGATGACAAACGAGCACACAGTCCACCTGATGGTAAGTGGTTGCTGTGGCCCATAAACATCTACATCTATCCACGTTGGCGAATCAAAATGCAGATGCGTTGTCATCTGTGAGGACTAAGATGGAATGCCTCTTTTCCAGTAAAAAGGGTCTCCGGTTCTCTACACTCACCATACGAAACACAGCAGTTTTAACCCATTCACTGCCTTCCTAAGAAATTACCCCCATGTCGCCTTATACTGGTATTCAGCCCGCCCATCGGGCGCGGCACCTCAATAAATTATCTTGGCCCGCCCATCGGCGGTTTCGGCATAAGGCCTTAGATTTCGACGTGAGATATTTTTAATGCCTAATTTATATGTCCTGTGAATTGTGTAGAGCTTGTTTGCGTATATTTTTGAGTTATTTGTGGAAACAATTGTGCCAGTTACATTTGTTGTGGTTGTTGTTAACTGAATTATTAATGGAGTGGGAAAGTAAGGCAAAACTTTCAGCTAATTGAATTAAGATGAAGCTAATGTATCTTAATCTGCATATAAGATAGATTTAAGCACGTGCTTAGTACAAGGAAATCTAAAATGAAATATAAAAGCATACATTTTAGGGCTTTTTTTTCAAGTCATGCGTAGTCAACCCTTTTGTACGAGTATGTTTAATTTTTTTCCAACGTCTTACCTCTTTTGCATTAATTCCTACCTGTGTAGGAAATATTCGTTCACAGATAGGAATTATAGGCAGGGGAGATAGTCTCAACTCGATGCACTAAGTCAAACAGCAAACGAACTTCCAATACACTCAGTAAAACTCAAGTTGTGAAAACCACGAACGTCAAGATGCGAGTGAAAGCTTTTTTCCGTAGACTATTTTTTTCTATAATATGCTACTTACGTTAAATCATGCAAGTTGTAAAATTATTGGTGTCCATAACTAAAGGCACTTCTTTTGTTTTCAAAGTGACTATTACCGACAGGCTCCTTTTGTTCAGATCACCATCTGCATTCTTATCTTGTTTCATATTTACCGACAGTTTATGATTTTATCTGTATTAAACCACAATCAGAAATGGGTAAAATTAAATCATAAATCATACCAAAAATTGTATATGGTCGGTGACCAAACAATGGTGTCAGCACTTTGTCCGTTTTCAAAGTGACGAATACCAATCGGCTCCTTTTATGTAGATCATCATCTGCATTCTTATCTTGCTTCCTAGTTACCGACAGTATATTGCCTTATCTACGAGTAGGTGTTACAAAAAGCGGGTAATCCTCTTAGAAAGTGATTCTATTGCTCAAAAACAACAGCTTCTTCTATGGGACCTATATCGAAATCTCAAAAAAAAAACATCACATACTCGTCTCAGCTGATCGGCAGTTTAGTATGGGGAAGTCATTTTTGGCCCCATAGAAGAAGTTGTTGTATTTCAGCAATAAAATCAGTCCCTAAAAGGATTACGCGCTTTTTTGTAACACCTTGCATGTTGTTACGGTTTTATAGTTTTAATAATAAGGTGCAAGGAACAATAAAGTTTATATTTTATTATCATTACATGCAAATATATGTTATGATATAGTTTTTGATTAAAATTTTAACAAAAGGTTTGTTAATTCTGAAAACGCGTACTGCCCGCCCATGGGCGGGGTCGGCATGACAGGTCAGAATTGTCCTTTTATAAAATCTTAGATATCCGCAGGCCGTTTTGGTAACGAATCAATCATAGTAAAACGAGTTATTAGACAAAATCTTATAATTTTTTCATGTTATTTGGCATACTTATTAAGGTTTGAAATTCGCCTGCCCATGGGCGGGCTCGGCATGTGATTAAAAAGCTTTGCCCGCCCATGAGCGGGCAAGGCACTGAATGGGTATTTTACTCTGATATACCTACTATGAGAGCGTGGTCCTTCCCCGGTCGAGCCGACCCATTCGTGCTACAACTATACTGATAATATAGCTGCAGCATGGCTCTACCACATATAAAGTGAATGATAGGCCTTTGATTTCATATGTATTTGCTGCGTTCGGAGTCCCGAACCGGAATTCTGAGTCGGACCTGTGTTCCGCCATTTACATTGTTAGGCATTAACCCGTTCGACGGCGAATTCACGTCGAGAATTTTTGGTAGGTATTACACTCAATGCTGGATGCGTTAATGCTGAATAATACCAATACGCTTCGTGCATGACAAATAAAACATGAATAAGTTAAATATGGCGCAGTCGAATTTCTGCTACAAAACCAGTTATGGCGCCGCGCATTAAGATTAGCTTGATGTGCCAAGAATAGATTTTTATTTTGATTACATTTTCTACCTAAACGCCTACTCTTTTATCTCATTATGTTTTCACTGCCGTGTTCCGTTGTAAAAGGTAACAGAACCTGTTCAAATACGGACAGTGACATTTTCACGCAACTATAGTGTTTTTTGTTTGGTTTTTTGCCACCGATGGGACAGTTGAAATAAATAAAGCACACATTTTCTACGTACTAAAACTAACTTCTAAAAAGTGATCTTTACGACCATCATGAAATTTATATACGTTATATACTTTAACCATTTGATATGTATCAACCTATTTTTAACCGACTTCAAAAAAAGGCTTACCTCCTGTATGTACTCAATTCGACTGTATCTTTTTATGTGTGTTACCTCAGACCATTTTCTAGGTGAACCGATTTTGATGATCATTTTTTTTATTTTATTTGATAGCTGGTGCTTCTCATGTGATCCCATATAAATTTAATCAAGATCTGACCAGCAGTTTTTGAGTTATCCTTGATAATGCGTAATTCATTGACTTCGACTACATCGACGATTAAATGAAACTAATTTGTACGGATTCTATCGTGTTTAATTTAGCATTTTATTTCCCGACGTTCCGAGTGCTTACAGCACCCATGGTCACGGGGTGTTAATTTTTGGTCCGATCTACGCCCGAAACGTCGGGAATTAAAAAGTTAAATTAAACGCTAAAGAATCCGTAAAAAATAGTTTCATTAAATGTGTAGTCTTCGCGTAAATATAATAAATCATTACATTGATGATGTTCTCATCTTATTTAGTATATTGAAGTCGGTTGTACAAAACCTTTAAATTTTACCACTTGTTAGAAAACTAACTTTACTGATTCCATCACGTTTATTTTACTTATTTATATATTTCGGACATTTCTAGTGTTTTACAGTACCAATGATCACGGAAGAAGACCGAGGTGTTGTTCCGATCTAAGCAGAATGAACTTACAGTATCTTAGTATTGCAGCGGTAGCGCTTGGTTTTGGATTTAATTTTGTTAATTATAGGATCCTAAGCAGATTGTAGCACCCAACCATCTTCTCTATTCATCATCATCATCATCATTACAGCCCTTTACAAGTTTACTGATGAGCAAAGGTCTCTTAGTTTCTCTTCTCTATTGAAATTAAGATATTTATTTAAATTACAATAGCCTTGATCAGTTATCACCATTTTATTTTACGAGGATGTTTATTTTTTTTTAAAAGTTTTATACGTAATGTTGTACATATGGCGGACTTAATGCCTCAGGGCATTCTCTGCCAGTCAAATTAGACGTGGCAAAATCCGTAAATATATATATATATATATATATATATATATATATATATATATATATTTAATAAAATGGCGAAGTAGCTTAGCAATGAGTTGCGGCGCTGAGAGCCGCGGGTTCAAATCCCGCACGAAACAAGAATTTGTATGGCCTGCAAACAATTGTTCCGGGTCTGGACGTTTGTCTGCTCCACAATAATACAGGAGAAAATCTTAGTGTGGGGTAACGTTTGTAAAAAAAATAACAACAAAAAAAAAACATCTCTTGAAAAGCGTTTGGTTTTTGAGGCTTGTGAAAATTGAATGTAAACAACACGACATCACGTCAGCGTTGTTACACCGGGCAAACTAAGTCCGTGTGTAATGCAACCAGCAACACTCGTGCGATTGTTGGGCGTACATTCCACACATTCACGCACGCTCTGTACATTTCCATTCGA